GAAACTTTTGACGAATGAGTTAAGTAATGAGTAGTTCAGTTTAATTCTTAAAAAAATAAAAAAACCATTGTTCAAAGTGTGCTTCCACACGTCGAGGGAGGAAGAAAACTTTGAAAAAAATAGAAAAAAGAACATCTCGCTAACATTGGAATGTGTTTACAACATGTTTTAAAATGATTACTATTGTCCGGATGGCCACGTGTCAACTTAGATTGAATCTCTCGTTTCTCAACTCCAAGTGACAAATTCCAAGCGATAGAGGGCATATATTTTTACGTAAATATGCAGTAAAACTAGTTAAAATATCAATAATAATGATACATTTAATAAGGTTAAGATCGTATCTTAGCTTGGTAAGTATCAAGAAATAATTTTGATCCTTGGCCTAATTTCATTTCTGATTTTTTTTTACCTGCCTCCCTCTCGTCTCTCGTCACTCCTTTCTCTCCGTTTGCTGTACTTGCTGGACGAGAACAATACAAAGAATAAAATTATTTTCAACTGTTAATGCTCAGAATGGACTGTTAAAGTCCACGTGGAATGGTAACTTTGTAAGAGGTGGGTAACTCCGCCCAAAATGAATAAAGTGAGGGGGAGATTTTCTGTGTGTGGAGCTGGTGTCTTTTGTTTAGTCAAGGATCAATCACTGCTGTAAATGTGGTCGGAATCATTCTATTGTCCCCATTGTATCGGAGAGAAATTGCTTTTTATTTTTTTTTTGTCTCCCTACATAAAATTTGTAATCTGTTTTTCTAAATTCTTGTTTTATTTTACGAGATTTTGATGTTTTTATTTATTTGTTTTAATTAAATTAGGTGTCAAATTTATATTAGTAATATATTGTTCCACGTTTATGTTTATTCTTTAATTCTCTAAATTCCGCAGGAACCTGGAAACATCTCAAATTTCTAGGAACATTTCACACAAAGATCTTTATTTCTGAAAATACCTTTAAATCTCTAGGAACACTTTACATGTAGATCCCCTCTGTTCCTCTACACTATACCTTTAAATCTCTAGGAACACTTGACATGTAGATCCTCTCTGTTCCTCTACACTACACCTTTAAATCTCTAAGAACACTTGACATGCAGATTCACTCTATTCCTCTAAAATACACCTCTAAACTAGGAACACTTGGGAAAGAATATATCAATACTTTCACACGCTGCTCCTCCTGCTGTTCTTTTAACAATTCCACGAATTGTTAAAGCAGCAGCACAGGGAGCAGAATAAGTTTATAAATTACAGGAGCAGAAACGATTCTATGAATTCGAAGGACAATTCTAGACCCAAGACAATTGACAATAACGCTTCTTCGACAGCTCGAGAATCTAGACTAAAGCAAGATCCTTTGTAAATCGGGTGAAAACTCTTCAATCTGGATCTAAAACACACACCCATACATACAAAAATTATTTATAAACTACACTCGCCTATATTCGAAAAACCTGATTAACAGGACGGACATATAGAAGACAAGTTGCATTTCTTTGTAGGTCACGTTATAAATCCTTACATTCTATTAAATGATTAGATTAAATAATATAACGGGAGGCCCATAAGTCGGTTAACTCCCGCTCTGTTTTGTTTCGAGCGGGTTCCAGCACGGTCAACCGACTTTTGATCCACGCTGCACGTTTAGATTCTTGATGACATCAGTCCACTTGTCTGATGATCAAATTCTTGCATAACGGAATCTCAAGAAGTGTTAGAAAAAGGTCTGAGCTACGGAGCGAAGGCTTTAAATAAAAAAACCTTTTCTAGGGTATTAATTTCGGAGAGATAAAAGACATTTTGAGTCTTATCACAAGCACTAAAAAGGGTCCTCATCTTCCACTAGAGATACTTATTGACAAATTACGCTTGTCCGTCCTTAAACAAACACTCGTAAACGTGATCAACAGGGTCGAGCCACCCGGGAGAGTGGTTACCTAACCTTGACTTCTTACATACGTGCCTTGCCACTTCTATCTTTATATAACGATTTTCTCGGTTACAAGAGAATGTTACGTCGAGAACTCTCTTAAACACACAAAGAGAAAAGCCATGAAGACGGTGATACATCACGTGGGATAGACCCGTGTTGTTGTTTCCCTGTAAAAATTCCTATGTAGATAAATAGTTATTGTACTGGAGGGGGGGAAGAGTATCTAAATATGTAATTAGAAGAACAAGTGCTAGTGTAGTTCCACACTTTCTATTATCAGATTAGTTCATTCGTAATTATGCTTGTCACTTGATAATGGTGTTCTGACATTACTCATTAGAATTATTACACCGAGGATGGAGATTCGAGTGACTGCACGCGCAAGTAAAGTGACAGAATCTCTAAGTTTGATCGAAGAGAAAGCACTTTTTTACTTGCTCCTTTTTATAATTCTTCCCCAACGAAATGACATAAATGTCAATTAGGCGCTTTAACGTCTTATTCAATTATATCTCGTGTCGTATAATTTCTTTGGATATAAGAAACTATATCAAGAAAGTTTCTCCGAGAGTATGGTTAATGCATAAAGTAAAAGCATCCTGAATTTACCTTCATCCCTTATGCTAACTCCTATGACTCCTCCTTCTCTCGGTGTCTTTCTTTAATGGATGTGCATCATGATCAATGAAACACAAAGATTAAAACTACTATTAAACCCTATTGAACACGTTCTTAGCGTGTTAATCAATGTTACGTGTTGTTTAATGCTCATAAACACGTTGCAAACGATCTAGAGTTCTAAACAATACTCTGAACAGTGAGCTAAATATTCAAGAATTGATATGCCAAAGCTCAGAACGGCTATTCAATAGCATGTGTAATGTAGAATACGCAATTTGTAAGCTCGAAATTAGCCCAATGCTCACGATTTAATAGATTCTGAGCTATTATTGAATGTCAACGTTCTCTAAACGTTGAAGAATTGTCGAAACGTACAGTCCAGGCCTACTTAGTGTTAAAGAGTTGTCCAGACTGTATTATTGATTAACAGAACACATTCTAGCACCCATTCTACACCCAAATAATAGAAGTGTAGCGGGGTAGATAGCATCGTTTTCTGTCGATACTTCTACAGAAATCTAACCTACAAACCCTGATATAACGTCAAAACGACCGATTAGAGGGTGACTAAAAGCATCGCACGCGTATAATCAAAAAACTATTCAAATAATCCGACACGTAACGATGTAAGGTCAATGCTAAATCTATCTCACCTATTTCTGCACAAATTTATTCATACATGAAAGTAGCATGGCAGAGAGAGAGAGAGGGAGGAGAGAGAGAAACGTAGAAACGAATTTATATCCTGGTTCGTTGACCCCGCGCGAAAATAGGAATAAAAAAATGGCGGGGGAAGAAAAGAAAACGTGCAATAGAGCAATTACAAACGTTGCACCAGTGCGAAAGTAGAAAAAAATATATAGTGTGGGGCAGCGCAGAAAAACGTGCAACAGAGCAATTACAAAGGTTGCACGATGCGAAAGAAAATCGTCGATTTATTAACATTAAACATGCCATATTATAACACGTAAAATTCGATTTGCAAAACTATAACTAACAATGCCTTAGGAGACAATGATTGTCACGTAAAGTGACAGAAATGAGTGTTTATAGTGACAATTACATCTCCTATACTGAGTTAGTTTAATGGAAACGAAATGTGTTTATAATTTACATTTTGCGGAATGCACGCCCGCTAAGCGCATATTGATTTCTTTGAAGAGAGAAATTCCAATTAATGTTAAATTAAATGTTGTAATGGTGTAACAAGGCATTGCTCGTGTACCTGTATTTGATTAAAGTGAAGTCGGAATAAACCTTCATAATTGAACTCCCAGCCAAACTCTTGCTGTACTCACAATGCAATTTTCCTTATTCTTTATCCTAATTCCTTTGTTTTCTGCAAGTGGAGAGACAGGGGGAAGGTCTTTCGAGCAATTGTTTTGCTTAACGAGCTAAGAAATTCTACGAAATTCACGTTTTTTTGGGGGAGAGGGGAGGTGTAGTTATGACCCCTAATATGGCGATTTAATGGTCTTAAACTAACGAAATTCGTAATCTTTGTATCATTAGTTAAAGCTGTGAAAGTGATGTAAAGGATTGTGATTTTTGCTCGAATATGGGTAAGAGTTATACTGTTTTTTTTGTGTGTTAAAGTATTAAAATGACGTAAAGAAGGGTTCGTTTGTTTGTTGGCACAAGGCAAACACGGAAATTTGCCGAGGGGTATACTTCGGGAGGACTTTCTGAATGAAACTGGCCTATATTTAGAGTGTTACGAACGTGAAAAAAAAACCGGAAAACTCCACGTGGCCAGCCTTTTGGTGAGGTGCAAACCAGCTACATCTAGTGGCCACTATTGGGCACTTAACAATGGTTTAAATTGTGAAGACAATTATGATTTTCACATCGGGATAGCTTGTAAACAGAGCCATCGAGCGGAGGATGTGGAGATTTTCCCCCAACTTTTATGTTTCCTAACAGGAAATAATGAAACATTCTAACAAAAAGCTCTCCCCATACTACTCGCCATACATTTTCCCCCTATAATAAGGATTTTAGGGGAAAAATAAAATAAAATCTCGTTGAATGCTCGAATAAAAAAGCTCTTTGCTATGAAAAAGTATTCTTGTAAAATTTACCACAAACAATGCTGTTGTAAAATATTTTTCTTGTATATATATATTCTTGTGGGAACTATTTTGTAAATAGCTGAAGAAGGTTCGGAGCAACATCAACCTCCTTGAAAAGGCTCAAAAATTACAAAATAATGATAAAAAAAAAGGAAAATACAGGAGTGTAGCTATGGTGCATCTATAGGAAAGCTGCGTGTAAGTCTCCCTCAAGAGGCACGTAATAAAAATATCCAAGTGATGCGGAAGAGGAATCGAAAGAATAAGCTGTAAAGCAGATATTTACACAAGTTATTCCAAAAATCAGTTAACCACTGTAAACAATAAACTACTACTAAGTTAAAATTTTTATTTGCTATTTCTTTTATCTGGAAAAGAAGGAAGAAGAGGAGGGAAGCGAAAGGAACAGGATGAAAAAGAAGAAGGAACAAGATGGAAGCATAAGGAACAGGAGGAGAAGAAGAAGAAGTTTAAGAAGAAGAAAGAGGAGAGAAGCAGAAGGAACATGAGAAGAAGAAGAAGTTTAAAAAGAAGGAAGAGAGGAAGCAGAAGGAACAGGAGGAGAAGAAGTTTAAGAAGAAGGAAGAGGAGGGAAGCAGAAGGAAGAGGAGAAGAGCAGAAGGAACAGGAGGAAAAAAGATCCTCCTTCTTTTCCTTCTCCTTTTTAATCTTAAGAAGGAGAAGGAAGAGGAGGAGGATCGGAAGAAGAGGAAGCAGGGGAATATTTTTTTTCAATACGTAAATTCATTTTGTGATTTATCGCAACACTCAGTTAACTGATCTTTGGGCCATGTTAAGTAGACATGAATCATATTATGCTGGAGAGTTATTAGAAGTGTAGAAAGACTATGGAAAGTCAAAATAATGTGGAAGGTGAGTGTTTAATGGGACTTAAGTAAGCAAAGTGGTAGACACGGATTACCACGAGAGAAGTTAATTCATTGTGATTCACAATATTGGAAATGTGGAAGCATGAAGAAAATAAGACAGGAAGGAAAATGTTTAGAGTGATTAAACGGGGTGAGAGAGTTGATAATGGAAACTTTGCTATTATAGTGTTGAGATTTTTATAATGTGGGGGGGTTGAAATATATAAATTATGAGTTTCTTGGCTTTCATCTTTGAAAATTTACCCATTTTACCAAAATATTTTAATGAAAATAAGCATTTTTACTTATATATAACAGAGGGAATGTATAAAAATCGGTCAAAAAATCACCCCCCCCCCAAGATTTTTAGACTTGGGAAACCTTTAAACGGTTGAGAAAGGCATAATTTTGTTCACCAATTTGAAGCTTAATAACTCTGGTTCCTTTTGTCGAAATTTTCTGAAATTTTGCGAGAAGGTTTGCCTATGAAGGTGGTTGACGCTGTTAAATTTTGGTGGTTAAAGGTCAAAGGAATGAAAAGATAGAAAGAGGATCATCCTTAATATCTCCAGTGGGATCGAAGTTAATGAAAGATTTCACTCGTTTTATCATTTAAAATTTCTATTATTTTATAACAGTTAATAGTATAAATAATTTTTTAAATAAAACCTCATAACAGATGGAGCCACGCACATTTTTAACGTTTTTTTTTTCGCCTGGAAAGTTACATAACTCGTTGCTGGCTTTGTAAAATTAGTTTCCTACCAAAAAAAACGTTCTTTATAGAAACTTTTTAAGAGTTTAACATTACTTAACTAGGTGGATACGTAAACACAGCTTTAGTTTAATAAATGATGGAATATTTAAGATTTAATAGGAAGTAATTGATATGTAAGGCTATGAAATAAACGAGCCTTTAGTTAGAGTCATGAAGGCAACTTGGATCTTTATTATTAAAAGGAATATAAGGATCCTCCGCGTAAGGAGTCGAGAGATAAAGATGCAAACTCTGAATAAACAAGAATATGAAGAGACGAGATAAGAGGATATCTTTTAGAATAAAGATCAAAAATAACTTCTTCCCGAGTATATATTCCATTCATCTTTTACTCATCACAAAGTGCTATAGTATCTTGTCAAAAGGGGTACTGAAATCGCGAGGTCGTCCCGTTATCCAATTAATTACCTGGCTTTGTAGAATTTTAGGAATTGCCTCGAGGACACGCAGCGAACATCGTCCTTCTAACATATTTTAATAATTTTACGACTGAACGAGTTTGTTGCATGTGATCAAAATGAAGAAAAGCATACATTAAAAAAAAAAAAGAAGAACTAGATTTATAGCTTGTATCTCGTAGAGTTATCGCGAGTTCCATAAAACAAAATCAGAACAATAACCTAAGATTTTCTACGAAATTTTCTAGATTATTTGGAAGAAGGTAAACAGAATAACGCTATATATTATAAGGCTCCTTGTAGGAACAAATTAAAAATTCAATTTTTGTTTATTTCTTTGATATTTCTCTCGATCTCTCTCTTTCTAACGACAACTTCATAATTTAGTGTTTTATTCATATTTTCCATACTCCTCGTTCTCGTTTCCCTAAAAAGTAAGACAATGAAGAATGAGTTTAGCCCCTATTTTCTGCACATTCCTCGTTCTTCTCTTCAAAAAAAGAGAAGAGTGACTGTAGCCCCTATTTTACCACACATTCACGTCACACTTCTTATTTTCTTCCCTAAAAAAAAGAGAAATGACTTTAGCCCCTATTTTACCACACACTCGCTCCACACTCCTTATTTTCCTCTTTCAGAAAAAAATAGGAGTGACTTTAGCCCCTATTTTACTATACACTCGCTCCAAACTCCTTATTTTCCTCCCTCAGAAAAAGATAGGAGTGACTTTAGCCCCTATTTTACCACACACTCGCTCCACACTCTTTATTTTCCTTCCTCAGAAAAAGATAGGAGTGACTTTAGCCCCTATTTTACCACACACTCGCTCAACACTCTTTATTTTCCTCCCTCAGAAAAAGATAGGAGTGACTTTAGCCCCTATTTTACCACACACTCGCTCCACACTCCTTATTTTCCTCCCTCAGAAAAAGATAGGAGTGACTTTAGCCCCTATTTTACCACACACTCGCTCCACACTCTTTATTTTCCTTCCTCAGAAAAAGATAGGAGTGACTTTAGCCCCTATTTTACCACACACTCGCTCAACACTCTTTATTTTCCTCCCTCAGAAAAAGATAGGAGTGACTTTAGCCCCTATTTTACCACACACTCGCTCCACACTCCTTATTTTCCTCCCTCAGAAAAAGAGAGAAGTGACTTAGCCCCTATTTTACCACACATTCACGTCACATTTCTTATTTTCCTCCCTCAAAAAAGAAGAGAGAAGTGACTTAGCCCCTATTTTACCACACTCTCGCTGCACACTTACTTTTCTCTCTCAAATAAGAAGAGCGAAGTAAGTTCAGCACCATTATCCTCTACCAAAAGAAACGAGATGTGTATGAAAAATAGGTGCTAAACACTACATACTATAAGGTTATTATTATACAGAGAGAGAAATTCAAAAGAAATAAATAAAAATTGAGTTTTTATTTCCCTTACGTATCGTTCTTCCCCTTTCTTCAGCCAATTTAACAGCGTGGAAAAGTAGTGTTGGCTATGTTATACACGATGATACATAAACAACGTAGACCCTCTTCTCGTGTAATTTCTGTGTTTGGAACAAAATTAAGTAAAATTCTTTAGCTGTTTATCTTCGAAATAATAAAAAAACAGAGAAAGTGAGCTTTGGAAATTTGGGTTAATGGTTTATAATTAACTCGGCTATGTCCGTGACATTATTTTTCTGCTGAAGTCCAGTTTGAAAGAATTTCTTGACGTTTTCCTTTGTTTGTATTCTAGATATAAATAAATGGGAGGGGGAGACATATATATAGGCCTATATATACACTCTAGTACTAAAAATGGAGGTCTATAAGTATTATTATTATAATTAGAATTATAATTATTGCGTAATTTAATTATAGAAGTACGTTAAACGAGTTGTAAAGTACTTTTATGATGAAATTACTTATAGAAAGTACGTTAACCATAAAATTAATTGCCATGATGAAAGTGAATATGATAAATAAGCGCCTTTATCATGATAATTACGCAATATTTATAACATAGCTTTAAGGTTAAGTGAGGCTCCATTAGGGTAAACTTAAGCAGCTGTTTTCTGGTTAAATTTACCATTATTTTTGTTAATTTTATGGTACTTTTACATAGAAATTCATCATAGAAATCCCTACAAACGTGGGGTGTACTTTCGAGAAGTTAGGAGATATTTAATGTTCCCGTGTTCGTACTTAGTACAGCAGATGTTATTCACAAAAATCCCCTCATAGTCTAATGGAATACATAATTCATAGAATTTGTTTTAGTGAAAAGGAAAGCCTTTGCCTAATGCATTAATCAGTATATGAGAAACACATACTTCAGAAAATATGGAATATTTATTCTTTATTCAGCCTATTTATTGTATTACAGAGTATATAGAATATTTTAAATGGCGTGAAAATGAATAAATAAGTAGAAAATTTTGTGATTTTCACTATTGGTAAATAGGAAGTAGGTTCTGACTCTTCATTATTATTGACTGGTAAATAGCCAAGAAGGTTCTCACTATTGACTGGTAAATAGGCAAGAAGGTNTCTAGGAACACTTGACATGTGGATCCCCTCTGTTCCTCTACACTATACCTTTAAATCTCTAGGAACACTTGACATGTGGATCCCCTCTGTTCCTCTACACTATACCTTTAAATCTCTAGGAACACTTGACATGTAGATCCTCTCTGTTCCTCTACACTACACCTTTAAATCTCTAAGAACACTTGACATGCAGATTCACTCTATTCCTCTAAAATACACCTCTAAACTAGGAACACTTGGGAAAGAATATATCAATACTTTCACACGCTGCTCCTCCTGCTGTTCTTTTAACAATTCCACGAATTGTTAAAGCAGCAGCACAGGGAGCAGAATAAGTTTATAAATTACAGGAGCAGAAACGATTCTATGAATTCGAAGGACAATTCTAGACCCAAGACAATTGACAATAACGCTTCTTCGACAGCTCGAGAATCTAGACTAAAGCAAGATCCTTTGTAAATCGGGTGAAAACTCTTCAATCTGGATCTAAAACACACACCCATACATACAAAAATTATTTATAAACTACACTCGCCTATATTCGAAAAACCTGATTAACAGGACGGACATATAGAAGACAAGTTGCATTTCTTTGTAGGTCACGTTATAAATCCTTACATTCTATTAAATGATTAGATTAAATAATATAACGGGAGGCCCATAAGTCGGTTAACTCCCGCTCTGTTTTGTTTCGAGCGGGTTCCAGCACGGTCAACCGACTTTTGATCCACGCTGCACGTTTAGATTCTTGATGACATCAGTCCACTTGTCTGATGATCAAATTCTTGCATAACGGAATCTCAAGAAGTGTTAGAAAAAGGTCTGAGCTACGGAGCGAAGGCTTTAAATAAAAAAACCTTTTCTAGGGTATTAATTTCGGAGAGATAAAAGACATTTTGAGTCTTATCACAAGCACTAAAAAGGGTCCTCATCTTCCACTAGAGATACTTATTGACAAATTACGCTTGTCCGTCCTTAAACAAACACTCGTAAACGTGATCAACAGGGTCGAGCCACCCGGGAGAGTGGTTACCTAACCTTGACTTCTTACATACGTGCCTTGCCACTTCTATCTTTATATAACGATTTTCTCGGTTACAAGAGAATGTTACGTCGAGAACTCTCTTAAACACACAAAGAGAAAAGCCATGAAGACGGTGATACATCACGTGGGATAGACCCGTGTTGTTGTTTCCCTGTAAAAATTCCTATGTAGATAAATAGTTATTGTACTGGAGGGGGGGAAGAGTATCTAAATATGTAATTAGAAGAACAAGTGCTAGTGTAGTTCCACACTTTCTATTATCAGATTAGTTCATTCGTAATTATGCTTGTCACTTGATAATGGTGTTCTGACATTACTCATTAGAATTATTACACCGAGGATGGAGATTCGAGTGACTGCACGCGCAAGTAAAGTGACAGAATCTCTAAGTTTGATCGAAGAGAAAGCACTTTTTTACTTGCTCCTTTTTATAATTCTTCCCCAACGAAATGACATAAATGTCAATTAGGCGCTTTAACGTCTTATTCAATTATATCTCGTGTCGTATAATTTCTTTGGATATAAGAAACTATATCAAGAAAGTTTCTCCGAGAGTATGGTTAATGCATAAAGTAAAAGCATCCTGAATTTACCTTCATCCCTTATGCTAACTCCTATGACTCCTCCTTCTCTCGGTGTCTTTCTTTAATGGATGTGCATCATGATCAATGAAACACAAAGATTAAAACTACTATTAAACCCTATTGAACACGTTCTTAGCGTGTTAATCAATGTTACGTGTTGTTTAATGCTCATAAACACGTTGCAAACGATCTAGAGTTCTAAACAATACTCTGAACAGTGAGCTAAATATTCAAGAATTGATATGCCAAAGCTCAGAACGGCTATTCAATAGCATGTGTAATGTAGAATACGCAATTTGTAAGCTCGAAATTAGCCCAATGCTCACGATTTAATAGATTCTGAGCTATTATTGAATGTCAACGTTCTCTAAACGTTGAAGAATTGTCGAAACGTACAGTCCAGGCCTACTTAGTGTTAAAGAGTTGTCCAGACTGTATTATTGATTAACAGAACACATTCTAGCACCCATTCTACACCCAAATAATAGAAGTGTAGCGGGGTAGATAGCATCGTTTTCTGTCGATACTTCTACAGAAATCTAACCTACAAACCCTGATATAACGTCAAAACGACCGATTAGAGGGTGACTAAAAGCATCGCACGCGTATAATCAAAAAACTATTCAAATAATCCGACACGTAACGATGTAAGGTCAATGCTAAATCTATCTCACCTATTTCTGCACAAATTTATTCATACATGAAAGTAGCATGGCAGAGAGAGAGAGAGGGAGGAGAGAGAGAAACGTAGAAACGAATTTATATCCTGGTTCGTTGACCCCGCGCGAAAATAGGAATAAAAAAATGGCGGGGGAAGAAAAGAAAACGTGCAATAGAGCAATTACAAACGTTGCACCAGTGCGAAAGTAGAAAAAAATATATAGTGTGGGGCAGCGCAGAAAAACGTGCAACAGAGCAATTACAAAGGTTGCACGATGCGAAAGAAAATCGTCGATTTATTAACATTAAACATGCCATATTATAACACGTAAAATTCGATTTGCAAAACTATAACTAACAATGCCTTAGGAGACAATGATTGTCACGTAAAGTGACAGAAATGAGTGTTTATAGTGACAATTACATCTCCTATACTGAGTTAGTTTAATGGAAACGAAATGTGTTTATAATTTACATTTTGCGGAATGCACGCCCGCTAAGCGCATATTGATTTCTTTGAAGAGAGAAATTCCAATTAATGTTAAATTAAATGTTGTAATGGTGTAACAAGGCATTGCTCGTGTACCTGTATTTGATTAAAGTGAAGTCGGAATAAACCTTCATAATTGAACTCCCAGCCAAACTCTTGCTGTACTCACAATGCAATTTTCCTTATTCTTTATCCTAATTCCTTTGTTTTCTGCAAGTGGAGAGACAGGGGGAAGGTCTTTCGAGCAATTGTTTTGCTTAACGAGCTAAGAAATTCTACGAAATTCACGTTTTTTTGGGGGAGAGGGGAGGTGTAGTTATGACCCCTAATATGGCGATTTAATGGTCTTAAACTAACGAAATTCGTAATCTTTGTATCATTAGTTAAAGCTGTGAAAGTGATGTAAAGGATTGTGATTTTTGCTCGAATATGGGTAAGAGTTATACTGTTTTTTTTGTGTGTTAAAGTATTAAAATGACGTAAAGAAGGGTTCGTTTGTTTGTTGGCACAAGGCAAACACGGAAATTTGCCGAGGGGTATACTTCGGGAGGACTTTCTGAATGAAACTGGCCTATATTTAGAGTGTTACGAACGTGAAAAAAAAACCGGAAAACTCCACGTGGCCAGCCTTTTGGTGAGGTGCAAACCAGCTACATCTAGTGGCCACTATTGGGCACTTAACAATGGTTTAAATTGTGAAGACAATTATGATTTTCACATCGGGATAGCTTGTAAACAGAGCCATCGAGCGGAGGATGTGGAGATTTTCCCCCAACTTTTATGTTTCCTAACAGGAAATAATGAAACATTCTAACAAAAAGCTCTCCCCATACTACTCGCCATACATTTTCCCCCTATAATAAGGATTTTAGGGGAAAAATAAAATAAAATCTCGTTGAATGCTCGAATAAAAAAGCTCTTTGCTATGAAAAAGTATTCTTGTAAAATTTACCACAAACAATGCTGTTGTAAAATATTTTTCTTGTATATATATATTCTTGTGGGAACTATTTTGTAAATAGCTGAAGAAGGTTCGGAGCAACATCAACCTCCTTGAAAAGGCTCAAAAATTACAAAATAATGATAAAAAAAAAGGAAAATACAGGAGTGTAGCTATGGTGCATCTATAGGAAAGCTGCGTGTAAGTCTCCCTCAAGAGGCACGTAATAAAAATATCCAAGTGATGCGGAAGAGGAATCGAAAGAATAAGCTGTAAAGCAGATATTTACACAAGTTATTCCAAAAATCAGTTAACCACTGTAAACAATAAACTACTACTAAGTTAAAATTTTTATTTGCTATTTCTTTTATCTGGAAAAGAAGGAAGAAGAGGAGGGAAGCGAAAGGAACAGGATGAAAAAGAAGAAGGAACAAGATGGAAGCATAAGGAACAGGAGGAGAAGAAGAAGAAGTTTAAGAAGAAGAAAGAGGAGAGAAGCAGAAGGAACATGAGAAGAAGAAGAAGTTTAAAAAGAAGGAAGAGAGGAAGCAGAAGGAACAGGAGGAGAAGAAGTTTAAGAAGAAGGAAGAGGAGGGAAGCAGAAGGAAGAGGAGAAGAGCAGAAGGAACAGGAGGAAAAAAGATCCTCCTTCTTTTCCTTCTCCTTTTTAATCTTAAGAAGGAGAAGGAAGAGGAGGAGGATCGGAAGAAGAGGAAGCAGGGGAATATTTTTTTTCAATACGTAAATTCATTTTGTGATTTATCGCAACACTCAGTTAACTGATCTTTGGGCCATGTTAAGTAGACATGAATCATATTATGCTGGAGAGTTATTAGAAGTGTAGAAAGACTATGGAAAGTCAAAATAATGTGGAAGGTGAGTGTTTAATGGGACTTAAGTAAGCAAAGTGGTAGACACGGATTACCACGAGAGAAGTTAATTCATTGTGATTCACAATATTGGAAATGTGGAAGCATGAAGAAAATAAGACAGGAAGGAAAATGTTTAGAGTGATTAAACGGGGTGAGAGAGTTGATAATGGAAACTTTGCTATTATAGTGTTGAGATTTTTATAATGTGGGGGGGTTGAAATATATAAATTATGAGTTTCTTGGCTTTCATCTTTGAAAATTTACCCATTTTACCAAAATATTTTAATGAAAATAAGCATTTTTACTTATATATAACAGAGGGAATGTATAAAAATCGGTCAAAAAATCACCCCCCCCCCAAGATTTTTAGACTTGGGAAACCTTTAAACGGTTGAGAAAGGCATAATTTTGTTCACCAATTTGAAGCTTAATAACTCTGGTTCCTTTTGTCGAAATTTTCTGAAATTTTGCGAGAAGGTTTGCCTATGAAGGTGGTTGACGCTGTTAAATTTTGGTGGTTAAAGGTCAAAGGAATGAAAAGATAGAAAGAGGATCATCCTTAATATCTCCAGTGGGATCGAAGTTAATGAAAGATTTCACTCGTTTTATCATTTAAAATTTCTATTATTTTATAACAGTTAATNTTATAACAATTAGTAATATGAAAATGACTTGTTAGTAAAATCCCGTAACAGATGGAGTTACGCACATTTTAACGTGCGTGGCTCCATCTGTTTTTAAATAGAGATTTTTTATCGTAATTCAACTAAATTAGTTGCTTTAATCTTTTGCTAGTAATTTCATGTAAAATTTCTTTTTCTCTGAAAAATTGTCTCTTTGTAATATAAAAATGAGTTGTTAGTAAAACCTCATAACAGATGGAGCCACGCACATTTTTAACGTTTTTTTTTTCGCCTGGAAAGTTACATAACTCGTTGCTGGCTTTGTAAAATTAGTTTCCTACCAAAAAAAACGTTCTTTATAGAAACTTTTTAAGAGTTTAACATTACTTAACTAGGTGGATACGTAAACACAGCTTTAGTTTAATAAATGATGGAATATTTAAGATTTAATAGGAAGTAATTGATATGTAAGGCTATGAAATAAACGAGCCTTTAGTTAGAGTCATGAAGGCAACTTGGATCTTTATTATTAAAAGGAATATAAGGATCCTCCGCGTAAGGAGTCGAGAGATAAAGATGCAAACTCTGAATAAACAAGAATATGAAGAGACGAGATAAGAGGATATCTTTTAGAATAAAGATCAAAAATAACTTCTTCCCGAGTATATATTCCATTCATCTTTTACTCATCACAAAGTGCTATAGTATCTTGTCAAAAGGGGTACTGAAATCGCGAGGTCGTCCCGTTATCCAATTAATTACCTGGCTTTGTAGAATTTTAGGAATTGCCTCGAGGACACGCAGCGAACATCGTCCTTCTAACATATTTTAATAATTTTACGACTGAACGAGTTTGTTGCATGTGATCAAAATGAAGAAAAGCATACATTAAAAAAAAAAAAGAAGAACTAGATTTATAGCTTGTATCTCGTAGAGTTATCGCGAGTTCCATAAAACAAAATCAGAACAATAACCTAAGATTTTCTACGAAATTTTCTAGATTATTTGGAAGAAGGTAAACAGAATAACGCTATATATTATAAGGCTCCTTGTAGGAACAAATTAAAAATTCAATTTTTGTTTATTTCTTTGATATTTCTCTCGATCTCTCTCTTTCTAACGACAACTTCATAATTTAGTGTTTTATTCATATTTTCCATACTCCTCGTTCTCGTTTCCCTAAAAAGTAAGACAATGAAGAATGAGTTTAGCCCCTATTTTCTGCACATTCCTCGTTCTTCTCTTCAAAAAAAGAGAAGAGTGACTGTAGCCCCTATTTTACCACACATTCACGTCACACTTCTTATTTTCTTCCCTAAAAAAAAGAGAAATGACTTTAGCCCCTATTTTACCACACACTCGCTCCACACTCCTTATTTTCCTCTTTCAGAAAAAAATAGGAGTGACTTTAGCCCCTATTTTACTATACACTCGCTCCAAACTCCTTATTTTCCTCCCTCAGAAAAAGATAGGAGTGACTTTAGCCCCTATTTTACCACACACTCGCTCCACACTCCTTATTTTCCTCCCTCAGAAAAAGAGAGAAGTGACTTAGCCCCTATTTTACCACACATTCACGTCACATTTCTTATTTTCCTCCCTCAAAAAAGAAGAGAGAAGTGACTTAGCCCCTATTTTACCACACTCTCGCTGCACACTTACTTTTCTCTCTCAAATAAGAAGAGCGAAGTAAGTTCAGCACCATTATCCTCTACCAAAAGAAACGAGATGTGTATGAAAAATAGGTGCTAAACACTACATACTATAAGGTTATTATTATACAGAGAGAGAAATTCAAAAGAAATAAATAAAAATTGAGTTTTTATTTCCCTTACGTATCGTTCTTCCCCTTTCTTCAGCCAATTTAACAGCGTGGAAAAGTAGTGTTGGCTATGTTATACACGATGATACATAAACAACGTAGACCCTCTTCTCGTGTAATTTCTGTGTTTGGAACAAAATTAAGTAAAATTCTTTAGCTGTTTATCTTCGAAATAATAAAAAAACAGAGAAAGTGAGCTTTGGAAATTTGGGTTAATGGTTTATAATTAACTCGGCTATGTCCGTGACATTATTTTTCTGCTGAAGTCCAGTTTGAAAGAATTTCTTGACGTTTTCCTTTGTTTGTATTCTAGATATAAATAAATGGGAGGGGGAGACATATATATAGGCCTATATATACACTCTAGTACTAAAAATGGAGGTCTATAAGTATTATTATTATAATTAGAATTATAATTATTGCGTAATTTAATTATAGAAGTACGTTAAACGAGTTGTAAAGTACTTTTATGATGAAATTACTTATAGAAAGTACGTTAACCATAAAATTAATTGCCATGATGAAAGTGAATATGATAAATAAGCGCCTTTATCATGATAATTACGCAATATTTATAACATAGCTTTAAGGTTAAGTGAGGCTCCATTAGGGTAAACTTAAGCAGCTGTTTTCTGGTTAAATTTACCATTATTTTTGTTAATTTTATGGTACTTTTACATAGAAATTCATCATAGAAATCCCTACAAACGTGGGGTGTACTTTCGAGAAGTTAGGAGATATTTAATGTTCCCGTGTTCGTACTTAGTACAGCAGATGTTATTCACAAAAATCCCCTCATAGTCTAATGGAATACATAATTCATAGAATTTGTTTTAGTGAAAAGGAAAGCCTTTGCCTAATGCATTAATCAGTATATGAGAAACACATACTTCAGAAAATATGGAATATTTATTCTTTATTCAGCCTATTTATTGTATTACAGAGTATATAGAATATTTTAAATGGCGTGAAAATGAATAAATAAGTAGAAAATTTTGTGATTTTCACTATTGGTAAATAGGAAGTAGGTTCTGACTCTTCATTATTATTGACTGGTAAATAGCCAAGAAGGTTCTCACTATTGACTGGTAAATAGGCAAGAAGGTTTCACTCTTCATTATTGACGAGTTAGTAGGCAAGAAGGTTCTCACTATTGACTGGTTAGTAGGCAAGAAGGTTCTCACTATTGACTGGTAAATAGGCAAGAAGTTTCTCACTGTTGGCTGGTAAATAGGCAAGAAGCTTTCACTCTTCATTATTGACTGGTTAGTAGGCAAGAAGGTTCTCACTATTGACTGGTAAATAGGCAAGAAGGTTTCACTCTTTATTATTGACTGTAGGCAAGAAGGTTCTCACTATTGACTGGTAAATAGGCAAGAAGTTTCTCACTGTTGGCTGGTAAATAGGCAAGAAGCTTTCACTCTTCATTATTGACTGGTTAGTAGGCAAGAAGGTTCTCACTATTGACTGGTAAATAGGCAAGAAGGTTTCACTCTTCATTATTGACTGTAGGCAAGAAGGTTCTCACTATTGACTGGTAAATAGGCAAGAAGGTTCTCCTTCTTCACTATTGACTGGTTAATAGGCAAGAAGGTTCTCCCTCTTCACTATTGACTGGTTAATAGGCAAGAAGGTTCTCCCTCTTTACTATTGACTGGTTGATAGGCAAGAAGGTTCTCACTATTGACTGGTAAATAGGGAAGAAGGTTCTTCCTCTTCACTATTGACTGGTAAATAGGGAAGAAGGTTCTTCCTCTTCACTATTGACTGGTTAGTAGGCAAGAAGGTTTTCATTATTGACTAGTAAATAGGCAAGAAGGCTTTTTACTTTTCACTATTGACTAAACAAATAGGTATAAAAATTTCTAAATTTCTACTTGTTTATCAAGCAATACTGAAAAGTATTTACAGTATGTAAATTTGATGTTGGTTACAGAGATTTAGACGTATTTAACCTATAATATAAGTGATTTTATTGATTTCTATACTGTAAAATCATTCTATTTTCTGTACTGATGTATTACAAGCAGGGGTAAGTAAATAATTTTGCTTGTAATATCCCTAAAAATAAATTTTTTGGTACTGACAGGAGCGTAAAAATCACTAACTGGAAAGCTGTAAACTTTCATTTATTGACTGTAAGAGTCATACAAATTCTGTAGAAATATTCCTCCGTCCTTTTTCTGAAGTTGTACCATACAACCTCAGAAGAAGGACAGTTGTACAGTATGATAAATTCAACAAATAAGGAAATTTATAGGGCACAACAGATTTAGGAGATGCAAGTGACAAATGAGGAAATTTATAGGGCGCAGGAGATATCGTACCCTACAAATTCCCTTATTCGTTGGATTTGACTGCACCACACGACAGTAGGGGGTGCAGTCGCGCGGTATAGTCAAATCCATTGTTATAAATGCCCTTGTGA